GTAACAACTGTTGTTAGTGTCACTCATGGGCTTTCAGCTAGGCAAGGAAAGAGGAACAAACACATTTTAAAAAGAAACACAAACAAACTCACAGGACTAAACTTCCTCCATTGTAGCCACCGAGGAAAACACAAATTGTGGTGTGTTTCTTTATTTAATTAAATATTGAGTCGGCACTGATACAGATGTAAAATAAAAATATAGAAATGGATTTTCAAAAAATCTGATAGCTGTTACACAAAGAGATCAAATCATCTGCTTATTAATGTTTTCCAGTGAGGTTTATATTTTTAGAAATCAGATGATGAGCCATCATCAATGATGAGACATCCAAAGTCACATTACTGAATGTGACTGATGATTCAACTTATATCCAACACAACCAGCAAAACAACCACAAAAAATACAGGAAAAAAAAGGAGGCCTCTATTTGCATAATATAGCCTATTTATTTTTAAACTTTTAAGACATTTGTAGGCATGTTCAAAATATCCCTAATAAGAGCTCATCAATACGGATATTTAAAAAATGTCTTTACTTTATTTCATTAATTTACAAGCACTTATAAAGTGTCTTTCGGTTTTGGACTTTTGGTCAGACAAAACAAGACGAGACATTGGTCTTTGGACTTTAATGTGCCACCCATTTCCTGTATTTCTTGTTTTTTTCTGGCAATTAATCTATAAATATATTGGTAAAAACAGGTAAACCGCTATAGGTTATTTGTTGTTGTATTCACAGTAATCTCTGTTGCATGCAAACATTGCATGTACGGAATTGTATTGTTACCGCCCCCTACAATGATAAATGAGTAGTCACTTGGCTTTAGCAGGCAGGCTCCCATGAGATTTCCTGCAAGAGGAATAACTTCAGTGTGTTTAACACTGTGGTCTCACGGCTCCACCTCGTGGCAGTGCTGTGCGTAACAATCCATAAATCCAGCAAACTGGTTGAAATTCACAAATATTCGTTTAGGGAATAATGAACTCGTAAAATAGAGTTAGCAAATTCTCTTAACTGAGGGATCTTTTTCATGGAGAGTGATTTTTCTTCGAATGCACACATTAATGATTCCAAATTGTACATTTACATATTATCATTAAGCTATTGTGAGAATATGCATTAATTTCAATAAAACGGTCTATTATCTGAAATCAGCATATAAACTGTTGAGTGTGCAATTACATTAAAACAATTAAAATTGCAGACAAATGCATTAATTTACCTGGTTTTGGAATGATCTCTTTTTTTCTTGGCTTTTTAATCACGATAAACATTTCACGGTATTTGTTTCACTTTATTCTTCCATTGTTTGAAGGTACACGCATAACTAGCATCATTCATTGCACATCGACGTAGCGCAAGCTACTTAAAGGGTGGGTGGATTCCCTGACGTAGACGTCAAGATCACCAGCCAATCAGGATTGGCGTAATGAGATTGATGCTTCTGTTTGCATACGCGTTGAGGCCTTTATATATGATACACTCTATGGTTGAGGCGCATCCCGTAGAGGATTGCATTACTTTCTCTGATGCGTCACTGTTGGTCCATGGGAAACTTCCTTTCTCCTCTGGTAAGTGAAGCATTAATGCTAACGAAATGAATAAAACAGAAGCCACAACATCGGAGAGGTTTTTTTTCAATTGAATTATTGAAACTAAATGTTATTTTACCTTTTACAAAGTTTAACACTTGACAATGTACTGTTTTTAATATAAAGCCACGTGTGTCAAATGCTAGCAGCAGTTAATGCTAGATTTGTCAATGTAACTAATGGAGGTTTTAGATGCGTAGCATTTTTGGTTTAATTTAAAACGGAACTAGCAATATCTTTTCATCAACAGCTTTTCCAAAACTTCGAGCACTTTCATAATATATTTTTGATGCTCATTGCTGGGCAGGTAGGAAGCACAACTGCGTCCTCCTCGGGGCTAATGTAGCATGTTGCTAACGGAATCGAGCTAACGAGCATGAGTTTCAATAAAGGGTTGAGTCAGGGTCGGCGTCATGGGGGGTCATTCGCGGGCCATGCCCCCCCAAATGAGTCACTGTGCCCCCCCAACGAGCCTTATTGCCAATTCGCCGTTTAAAAAAAATAATCATATAAGTTAAAACGTTTCCACCAAAAGTTTTTTGTGTGAAATACATCAGAAATAAAGAATACACATTTGTATTCTTTATTTATTCTTTATATGAAACACAGCCTGAGGTGTGCTCACTGCTGCTCTCTGATTGGTGTGTTGCTTAACCAATGACCCCGACTTTTGTTTTGTTATCATTACGTGGCTGTGTGTTTAGATGAAAGCCCAGTGGCGATCTGTCCATCTGTTATACTGATTACAGTAAAGCCATCGAAAATAATATGATATACAGTACAGTACAAGTACATGGGTCTCTGTGTTTCATTCAAGCTCGGCTCTCTGTGTGTGGCACGAGCGCATTTTGTCAGTGCGCGAGCGGTAACGTGGAATATTGTTGTTAGCATCTGGTTAGCTAGCTATGCTAACGGATATAAAGAGCTGTTTCTACACCAAGGTGGAGGAGAGTCCTCTCCTGTCAGACTGAGAGGATCTTATAACGTCAGCTCAGTGAGGTAAGGACTCTCTCAGTGTTTAGATAGTTCACTTTAGTGTAGGTTATCTCAGTGGGTCTCAAACGGTTTGGTCACCATTTATGTAAACAAGTATTTGCGAGGAATAGGCTACCTTTATATGATCATTATAGTTATTAAAGAATAAGAGAATAAATGAAAAACGGGTATGAAATACTATAGGACAATAACACAGAATACCATTTAAAAGGGGAGTGATTAGTAAAATATCCATAAAGAAAAAGTAAATCTGTTTACAGTTGTGTTTCATATGGATGTTGAGAGATGTAGACTATCCATAGATCTCTTCATTTTGCTCTCAAAGTGCACCAGATTGATGCTTTTAACTTCAATATTTTAAAAATAATCTTCCCGGGGGAGCTTGCCCCCAGACCCTCCTAGAGGAGGTTAGGTCCACCCCCCACCTAAAACATGTTCACATGGATAGGATACTAAATACATTTGCACACTTTTCATATGGTGGCCTATGTCCATATGTTTCTGTTTTGGTGATCGTGCCACAGCCGTGCATGTATGCACAAGTCATAGGTGCGCTATACAATAGCACTACACCCTGCAATGTGTGTGAAAGACAATAGACTTTACAGCATGTTTTTTTAAATTGAAGTTGCGTTGGTGTTTGTGTGTTGGTTGTTGACGGCAGTGTGTGCCCCCCCTTGGTAAATTATTGCCCCCCCATTTGATTTGTTCTAGAGCCGACCCTGGGTTGAGTGAATAATTTGACACCCCGGTTTTTTATTTAAAGCCACGTCTAACTTATGTAAGCCAAATGTGAAAGAGCATCTATTACAATTGAACTATTCCAACTAGATCATTGTTATCCTGGACAACGTTCACAGCCTTCTATTTTTTTATATTGCTATCCTTGTGCTAGACATAAAGCTAATGTCAAGACTTGGGTTTGGTCAAGTCTTATACTCATAGTGTTGTTATTGTGGGTTTTATGTACTCTGGGTGCTGATATCTACCCCTTACATGTACTTGTCATGTACATCTTTTACCTGATCTGTCTTGGTACGGAGGTGGTATACGTCTTGTTCGTAATATTTTCTATTTATCTATTGTATTACGTCATCAATTCTATATATGGCCGTTTCCGTAGTGTAGTGGTTATCACGTTCGCCTCACACGCGAAAGGTCCCCGGTTCGAAACCGGGCGGAAACATAATTTTCAATTTAGGGATCATTATTACATTTATGTACAGTTACAAACTGCTACCTTTAATTTGTTTGTATAGGTTTATTAGAGCAGTGAAAATACTTTATATGTTTCATTCTGTTATATTTTGTGTCCCTCACTATAACACATATACACACCTGTGTATTTTACTAAATATAACTTATTAGGTATTATTTTTTGTTAGATTTTGCCTAAATGAAGAGTTTCCTGAAGGCATTCCGGTTACGGACTATGTTTTGCTATGTCTGAGTTATCATGAATACCGTTTAGTCGTGATTTATTATTGGTACCTGAACGCAACACTCGCATGGCGTTTCCGTAGTGTAGTGGTTATCACGTTCGCCTAACACGCGAAAGGTCCCCGGTTCGAGACCGGGCGGAAACATTGTTTTCTTATCACTAAGTGTAACCTTTCTTCACCTTCACTATCTTGTTGATAAATATTAACTCTACATTTGTGGTATTTCGGAAGAAAAGTGTTCTGATTCTTCCATGTACGCACCATTATAGGTTACCTTTCCGGAGACTGTTGACTGATGATTTTCCTAGTTAAACTTTTGAAGAGATAAAAGTAGTTTGATATCCGTTCTTATTATGTTGTGATGTTCACCTCTTAATGACAAGACAAATCCTCCACAAAAAAATCATAGCATCCGCTCTTATTATATATGATAGCACCAAGCTCAGTGATGGTGGTTATTGTGGACAAGTTACTAGATGTCCGTGAACGCACAATTGCCACGGCGTTTCCGTAGTGTAGTGGTTATCACGTTCGCCTAACACGCGAAAGGTCCCCGGTTCGAGACCGGGCGGAAACATTGTTTACTTTTCACTACGATGATATATCTACCCCTTAAATCACCTCACGTACACCGTTCACCTGATCTGTCTTGTTGATATAAATGTTACCGGATGTATTCTGTAAGAAGACAAGTAACCCGTGAATTTAGGTTTTCTGGTCCGTCCCTGAACGCAACAGTTTAACTTACCTTCCCTGAGACTTGTGCCTGGCGATTTTCCTTACTGATGCGTAGTGCTGGGGGGAAACGATTATTTTGAAAACGATTAATCGGGCGATTATTTTATCGATTAGTCGACTAATCTAACGATTATTTTTCTGTTGTTCGATTCATAAAAAACGTAATTTATCTCAAATAAATACCAAAAAATTCTTAATAATAGTTATTTTTTTATTGCACAGCAAAATAAGAAATATAGAATAAATGTATACAAAATAAAAAGGCCAGCCTGTTTACTCTTACAGTCCAACAAAAAATCTCTTCTGTACAAAATTACAAAAGATAAAAAATGTAGTGCAAAAACAAACTGTGCCGTGCACAATATAACAGTCCCAACACAGAACCTGATGCACAATGAAACTGACTCTCTTAACTACTATTCTGGCAGCTTACATGCTAATGAAGAGTGTGCAATTACTGCAATATAAGTACTGGCCACTTTCCTCCTTCTCTCCTCCCTCACAACTCTACTCCTCCTACTTTGAATTACTGTGGAGGAATGTGAGCATGTCCACGTGTTCTTTGGTGAGGCTTGCTCTTTTTTTGCTCACAATGTTCCCTGCTGCTGAGAACAGACGTTCAGAAGGTGTGGATGTTGCAGGGGCAGCCAGATAAGATCTCGCCACAACAGCCAGGGAGGGGAACTTTGTTTCATTTTCTTTCCACCATTGGAGTGGGTTTTTGTCCTTTGGAATGGCTTTCCCCCCAAAGTACAGAAGCACCTCATTCCTGACAGCATCTTCCCTCTGGTCATGGGCTGGGTCGTCATCTTCCATCTCCTCCTCCTCATCATCTGACCCAAGCAATGTGTCCAGGACAGACTTTGGCTTCTGTCCTCTTGAGTGATCTAGCTGGCCACTGGGGGAGTCAGGCTCTTCCCTCACTCGTACTCGTCTGGCATCAAGTGCAAGGGTCTGAAGTTTGATTTTCACCTTCAGGATGTCATCTGTGGACAAGAACTTGAGTTTTCGGAATCTCGGATCAAGGGCCGCGGCGAAGATGCACACATTCTTCCCGTCCTCGTCATAAGTAGTCTCAACCTTCCATCTGAAAAATAATGGATTTAATGTGCACACTTTAAATCAAAGAAATTCAAGGTGCTTCAAGATAAAGATAACAGTAGAATCCATAGCTCTACATGATAGAATCATAATGGAAAAACATTGATGCAAACTGGGAAAGTTTAATTCAAATATTCAGTTAGTTCACTTTAAGAGATTTAAAGAGCTGCATATTTAAACTAACCTTGAAGCTATCTCTGCTGCGGCTGCAGTTTGGAAGGTGGCAATTGGAGCAGACTCAAAGGCTTTCTGCGTGGACTTCTGTAGGCCTTTCACCAGCGGAGGCAGGACAGAGACCGTGACATATGCCTCTCCACTCAGGAAGACGGTGGCTTGCTCGAAGGCCTCAAGTGCTTGATGTAGGTCCCCCAGGATGCTCCATTGGTCAGCTCTCATATCCAGGTAGTGTTTTGCTGCCTTGGTGACCTTTGGGTCTGAGAGGGTTGCGGTTACAGGCCACCGCTGCTCAAGGAGGCGTTTGATCATGTAAAAAGAGCTATTCCATATGATGGGTACATCCTGTGACAACTTGTGTTGCGGTGTGCCCATTTGCTCTTGTTTGAGTTTCAGCTTCAGGGTGGCGACCTCGCTGCTGTGGAAGTATGTGACGAGGCTCCTTGCTGCCCCAAGTGCCTTGTTGATTCGGGGCTCTTTCAGTGCATGGTTGACAATCAACTGGGTGGTATGGCCAGCACATCGAAGTGAGGCAACACCATGCTTCTCCTCAAGGATTCTAAGGGCTTTCACAACGTTCGCTGCATTATCGTGGACAATTGCCTGGACACCATCATGGAGAGAAAAGTCAAACTTCTCAGCGACCTCCTCAATCCAGAGAGCGATGTTGTCACCAGTGTGTCTGTCCTCAAGGGGCTTTGTGCAAAGAACAAATGAGACCATCTCCCAGTTTTCATTAATGTAGTGGCAAGTCACTCCAAGGTATGCCTCCGTGGCAATACTTGTCCAGGCATCGGTGGTGAGCGTTATCTTTGAGGACCTCTTCTTTAAGTTTCCCTTCAGATCATCAAGAGCACATTGGTATGCTTTCTCCAGCTGCTTGGTAAACCACCACCTGGAGGGACATTTGAAGCCTGGGCAGGCATATTCAATCATATCTATGAAGGCTTCACTCTCAACGAGAGACAAAGGCCTCATGTCTTTGACGATCACCTGTAAGATAAAACAAATATCATTATTATTAATAACAACACAGCACCTTTCATAGAGCCATGTTGCTTATAGTGTAAGAAGCTTAATTATTACATAATCCAAACAAGGACACAAATAAAAAGGCTAAGTGAAGAAACATCTATAAACTAGCTAATAAATCAGGACACAATAAATGGGATCAGGACAGCCATTCCCTCCTAAAAGATGCTCAAAGGAAGCAAATAATTACTTCCTCTCAAGATTATTTTGCTGAGTTCGGCTGCCTTCTGTGGAGTGCATTGCGCCTCTTTCCCAAGAAAGGACGGCAAGATTCTTTGCTTTGTCCTAGAAAACACAACAGCAATGAACAATGGAACAACAGCTATGACAGTGGGGCATATTAAATCTACTCTTAAACTCATTGCAGTGCTATGGTATAATTAGCTTACTTGAAGGCTAACGTGGTTACTTTTTAAACAATGTTAAGTCCAACAATGCATTTCATGTTTATCTAAAAGCTTGTAGAGTACTATATCTACACAATGAAAATGTTTGGTAGTGCAACTCATATGAGCCCTATCACACTTGGATGGGCTGGTGCTCATTTTAATGTTTTCAATGCTCATAAAAACATTAATTAATTAATGACAACTGCGCACCAGCTTACGTGCAGCCCTGGCCTGGACATTGCTGGCTCCGTTAATTGACATACATTGATACTATAATGCTGCGCTTCCATTACAGTTTAGGAACTGGGGTAGTTACTATAGTAACGCAGTGTAGGCGGAGCCGTGACGTCATCTTCAATGAGCGCCCCAAAAAACAACACAGCCGTTAGCTCTTAGCACTCAGAGCTCACAGCTCTTCATATCTGTTCAGAAACTAGACAAAAGTTAAACAAGTACAAACCACAGACTGCCTGTGTCATGGCGAATACAGTCGCTGGTTTGTTTATGTCTGTATAGGCCGTTGTTGTGAGTGTGGACGGTCGGAGCATATATAACGTTAGCTTAGCCAAGCTACATTTAGAAAACACGCATTTTAAAAAGAGGTTTTCACCTGCCGTCTGTCTGCAGACTTGTCAAAGCATTAATTCATGGTTTTTACTAACCGGTATCAGTATGTTGTTACTTCGGCACCATTTTGAAACGTGTATTACAATTAATTCACGGTCAAATATGTTCATCTTGTTGTAGTTGTAGCCCCCTTGCCATCGATTCTCTCTCTAGTTTAGCATACTCAGCCCGACTCAGCCTGGTTGTTCCTGGCCCTAGAACCACGATTTAGTCGGGCCAGAAAAAAGGTGAAAAAGTAGCCCCGGGCCAAAACTAGGATAAGTGGAAGCGCAACCAAAAACGGGCCCCGCACGGCTCGGCACGCTTAAGGCGAGCTACCCGCTGCAGTGGAAACGCGCCATTAGTGAGAGCGGAGGAGATTGCATCCTCTGTGGACCGTTTAGCTCGGTAGGCAAACTGAAACGGGTCCAGCGATGGGGGGAGGGTGGATTTGATCTGCTTCATGACCAGCCTTTCGAAGCACTTCATGATGGTGGAAGTTAGTGCGACGGGGCGGCGGTAGTCGTTGAAGCCGGATGGAGATGACTTCTTTGGCACTGGAATGATGGTGGTTTCCTTGAAGCACGAGGGAACAACAGCCTGGCTCAGGGAGACTTTTGTGTTATTATGGCTAAGTAAGCAGCCCATAATAGTATTGTTTATTTCAGTCTGCTTCAACAATCAAATGTGTTTACAAATTAAAGAAAGACAAAGAAAATCTGACTTTTATTAATCCCCTAGGGCCTAGGGGGAACTTCAGGGTTTCACTTTCGTGTTATTTACATGACACATGTTGTTTTTGATACACACACATGAACGCACATGCACAAACAGGACCACATGCATGAGTGGAGAGGTGGAAGAGGTTCAACTGTCAACACTCACGCTATTAAACCAGCGGCACTTCGGTTCCTGAGCGAAGTCCCTACAGACTGAGCTACTACCTTTTAATACTGTTGTATTAAGATATGGAAATACTCACAAGCCTAGACAATATGTAGTTTTACGTCTTGAAACCAATTTGATATTTGTTGACTAGAATATATGCGATGAGCTGTCACATGAGTCACTCTAATGCTTCTCCTAACAGAATGTATTTGATATGTAATTTACATTAATTGCAGAAAATAAATCCTCAAGATGTGATGTCTGCAATGTCTTCTTTTCAACAGTTTCCAATATTACTCTTCTTAGTAGTACCAGTCATGCTTTAGAAACACATGGAAACCTCTGCCTCTCCTAGTGAAGATCATACACAAATCCAGATTAAGGTACTATGGCAAGTTTGGGCTCAAGATTGATTATCCCTTCCAGGTGAGTTTGAACTAATTGAGCTTTAGTAACACAATATGAACAGGATCTCACTATCATGCTGTGACCGATTGGGTCTTTGTCATATTTCAGGCATACTTTGAAGTTGCTGACCAGAGTGGCACGATGTCCCTCGTGCTTTGGAATGAACTTTGTCCAGAGTTTTACCAGAAACTGAGCGTAGGCACTGTGTTGTACATCCAAAATTACTCCTTAAAGCAGAGTTATTCAAACCGCTCACGCCCGCAAATGGACCATCACCAAATGAAGACCTTTCACTCTGTAGGTATGTACACATTTATTCTGATAGGGCGGGGTACTCAAGAGTGCAGCACAATCTTAAATGTAATATCTTTATTTGTATTTTCCCAAGAAATCTGCCTGAACGCTCGCAACCCAACTTCAGTCGTCACTGTGGTCTCAGCAAAGAGCGTGCTGCCTCAGTGGGGATTACCTGAGGTTTCCTACCTGTTCACCACCAGGTGATTCACTTGTCAATCTAAAGTTTAACATTACATTACATGTTACTTGTTCGACGCTTTTATCCAAAGCGACTTACATACTCAATACTGTGGACAATCCCCACAGGAGCAATTTTGGGGTGAAGTGTCTTTCATTGAAAAAAGCGTTGTCATTTATTGAAGGAAAAAAATATGAATTCTGATATTGTCTGAGTTTAAAGTTGCACCTTTTTATGAGAAACAACCCACACATTTAAACCCACCTAAAAATATAAAGGTTAATTCAGTCATATATTGGTGAGATAAAGCATTGAAAAAATAGTTAGTGTGAAGGAACTACATCGCTTCTCTTTGCTTCAACACAAGGTTTAATATAAAAAAAATGTCTCTCATAGATTGTGGGCTTTTTTTGCCACTATAGCTTAAAGTGGACCTATCATGCTATATGTTTTTTTTTCAAAATACCAAACAGATCATGCATTTTAGCCATGCCTCATTTCGCTCTATTTGCTCTTTTTTAGCCCTGTTTTTGCAAGGGCTGAATCTGTGAGAAATCTTCTTCGCTGCTTTTGTGGCAGACTACAGCGCCACCTACAGGCCCAGTATATGTACTACAGCATCTCCAGCGCTTTCGAGCGGCAATGGCCGTGGCTCTCTCCTCCTGATAGGTGGAGAGTTGCCCATATAGGCGGAGCTCCTCGTTCCTGCCATCAGAGATATTTCAAATCTGTATCAGTCTGTATCAGATCCATTTTTAGAGATTTGGGTATGGAGGAAAAGAGAGAGGGTTGTGTTTTCTGACACTTGGTGAGTTCCCTGACACACCGGGGACACATATTCATGTATAAAAGACGTACAAAAGTGCATTTTGCATGATAGGTCCCCTTTAACTTCGTCGTATGTATCCTACAGATTACAGTTGGACGAATTATCCAACAATTCTGCATGTGATGTCATCTGTTTGGTGACATTTGTTGGTCGTGTTGAAAGAGTCAAGAGCAAAGGGAAAAAGGGTAAGACATGTTCTATCTATAAACTGGAATTCATTTACTTTTAACCAAAGTTAATCATTGGAAGAAAACAATTTTTTTTACCTATAGGTCCAGAAAAGTTCTGGACATATCGCTGGATCCATGCGGTGGACGGATCATCCGACCGTCCTTTTATCCTGGAGGTTTTTTCCTCTTCCCAACCGGAAGTCTTCAGTCGTATTTGTCCAAGTAAGTCAAATGGCTTCTATCTGACAGCTCTAACTTGTTAGCATTTTCACTTCATCTGTCCATCATCATCATCTCTTCCTCAGTGACCTACCTGGTGTGCACTCAGATGAGAGTTTGCAGAGTGGAAGGCTCGTTGCCCTACCTCACCAGCAGCTGTGAGACAGAGACGTTCATCACAGGTAAGCACAGCTCTAACAAAGTGGAAGTGATAATGTTCATGTTTTATCAGACGGTAATGCTCACTGTATTTTCTGACTCCACTGCAGGCTACCACAAAGGTCAGCCATATGTGAGTGACCCCAGAGTGAAGACTTTCATCCAGTGGACCAAAACTCTGAAGGACAACGTTGTCCTTCAGAAGACTTCTGTTGGCGGACATTACTGCTACCCTCGTCCCCCGCAGACATTTACCCAGTCCATGGCAGATGCCTCAGGTCAGGAAGAACGTTATTATTGAAGAAAAGTTAACATTTCATGCACTATTTTGTTTGGCCTCTCAGTGAACTATAGTTTTATCTAATTATGCACCGATAAGCTTCAGAACATAAGTCCAGCTTTAATATGAATAATTTTAGAACAGAGCTTGAAATGATGAACTTCTCTTCAGTACTGAACCAAAATAAGAAATACTCAGTTATCTTGTGGGCGGCAGGAATCGGAAAGAATATATGTACGGGACGGTTGGCGCAGTGGTTAGAGCGTTGATCATCAGATCAAGGGGCGTTGGTGAGCTCCAGTTCGAAACCCGCCACTGCGTCAGGCCGTTGTGTCCTTGGGCAAGACACTTTACCCGCATCTGCTCCTGTGGGTAATGTCCACAGTAATGACTCTTACATGTCTAATATGTGTAATGTGTAATTGTAAAGCGCTTTGAGCACCTGTAAAAGCGCTCTAATTAAAAATGTAATGCATTATTATTATTATGTTAGCATTTTCCTCCAGTTTTGCCAAAAGATAGAGGGGATTTGCAAAAGCTTTTCTTCCAAGTTCCCCTTAAAAAGACAATTTACAATCATCTGTTTGATCTGTAAAGTGTAGAATACACCAAGCACATGAATCCTGATTCCTACAGACTTTTTCAAATGTATTTATTTTTGCTCCTTCTTCAGCTCAAGTTCCTCTGGTTGCTGCGGCCGACTTGAAGAAGGAGATGGAGACCCTCCAATATAGGGAGCATAAAAAAGTTGCAATTCAAGGACAGATCGCGGCAGTGCGATACACGAAACACCCCAAATCAACAGAGTCTAGAGGAACAGAGGAGAGAGAAGTAAAGAACATTATTTTTAAATCACCTTTCCAAGAGTAGCGACCATTACCACATTGTTAAATAAGTCAACTGATTTCAGCAGGTGCCAGATGTTGCTCCTGATGTGTGTGAGCCAAACACACAGGACCATCCCTCCACAGCTGAGCAGACCACGGCTCCCATTTCAACTGCTGAGGAAATCTCAGTAAGAGGAATAAAAAGAAGAATTCAAACAAGGTACAACATACCACTCCTGACTCAAATATTTGTAAGCTTAATAGCGAATCTATCATTTATCTTTAGTGGCTGCTAGGAGCACATGTTTTGATTTGATATAAAATGTGAATACATACATGTTTTCCAGAAAAGTCAAGCAGTTCTCCTTGAATCTTCGTAGCATGGCAGCAAAAAGGTAATAATGATCCAGCTGGTAGTATTCATTAGTTATCAAGTTCAATCACTCTGAAAGTCTTCTGTTGGCGCAGAAACAGAAGGAGCTCAGAGATTGAGGAAGAGAAAGAGAGCGACTCTGGATCTGAAGACACTCCGAATGTCGCAGACAGCCAGCAAAATCAAGGTGTGTCATTGGAGCTGCAGTTTGACCGCGATGTACATTTTGCATTCTGATACTCTGATACTGACATGTTTGTGTTTTCAACAGACTCTGATGTCATATCTTGGGAAAGCAGCAGTTGGCCGAAGCAGAAACAGGAAGTGTCTGAATATCTGTGTGAAGGCGGGCTGCACCAGGACAGCGTGTCTCAGAGGTTCACGATTGACGAAAAGGACGTCCTCCTGCAGCGGAGTAACCTTCAGCCGACGCACTGGACCCCAGAGCAGAGTGCGGACACCCCCCCTCCTGTGGTCTGTCCCGGGTTCTACCAAGTTACAATACTAGGTAAAGTCTTAGCGTAAGAATTACTCTGATCTGTGACCCACAGGAAGTTAATTTGAGCATTTCCGTCTCTGAACCTGGACATCCTTTTGCACCCGACAATATATTCTGTCTGAATTATTCAGACACTGAATAGCTGTTTTAAGGAGGCAAAAATGGTTAGTACTTAATCCATGCAGAGTTTCAAAACTGGCCTGAATTTTTTTTGTTGCATTTATTTACATTGTCAGTGAGTCGCTAGACCTGCTTTCAGAGGAAACAAGCCAGAGGTCTAACGGTACGTCCACATGTGCAGCAGTGCAGCGTGCGTTGAAGCTTGCCGGTGGGCGTGTCTAGCGTGCGACCAACAACCAATCACATTAATCTCCCGCCCTGGACACACAAGCACGCGGTTTGATTGGCTAGAGCTTGTACTGGCATATGATTTGATTGGCTGACGCTTCTGTCGAGGCTTGAACTTTTCAGCTTGCCAGCTATTCTCTCTAGTTTAGCATACTCAGCCCGACTCAGCCTGGTTGTTCCTGGCCCTAGAACCACGATATAGTCGGGCCAGAAAAAAGGTGGAAAAGTAGCCCCGGGCCAAAACTAGGCCAAGTGGAAGCGCAACCAAAAACGGGCCCCGCACGGCTCGGTACGCTTAAAGCGAGCTACCCGCTGCAGTGGAAACGCGCCATAAGCTGACTAACGTTAGTCTAATGTTATGTTTATGTTCATGGTTAAACCGTACACCCCAGCGCGTGCACTACGCTCTGCATCAGCCAAACGACTCGCTGCGCCCTCGCTGCGAGGGGGACCCAAGTTCCCATCGGCGAAAACACGTGGGTTTGCTATCCTGGCTCCAGGATGGTGGAATGAGCTCCCCATTGACATCAGGACGGCAGATAGCTTGCACATCTTCCGGCGCAAACTGAAAACTCATCTCTTTCGACTCCACTTCGAGCGTTAGAACTATTAACGAAGCACTTTTATACTAATAAAGGACTGGCTTACCTAAAGCCAGTTGAGTAGCACTTGAAATGTTTGGCTCTATGAAACCTGATGTACTTATATGATTCTGTTTTCTTCAAGGTTGTGTCTTCCTGGTCGAATGTACTTATTGTAAGTCGCTTTGGATAAAAGCGTCAGCTAAATGCAATGTAATGTAATGTAATGTAATGTTTGACTCGTAACGGACCACAACATGAGTTAGCTCTCTGTGCAGTTAGTTCGTTCCGGGTTAGTAGTGGCTAGATAGCGGTGTTCTGCAGACGTAAACTAGCTACCATTCCAGCCAACATTAAATGCTGACAAACGTTAACTAACACACAGCTGGCGCCGCTAGCTAGGTAGCTAACATTAACTACTAACCAACCAAGCACGAACAAACCGCACGGAGAGCTATAAGATAGTTAGCACTACCGAAGTGCACAGAACTCAAGCTGCACAACACACTACACAAACGTGGAATTAATTTAGCCAAAGTTAGTACTTACTTATCATTGTTCCCTCCACGAGAGACAAGGGGGTGCCTCCGCTTGAAATGCTCCAACATAGCTGTTGTGCAAGACTGCAAATAACAATGCCTTTGCGTTTTGGACTAAATTTAAAGTATTCCCATACTTTTGAAGACCTAGGGCGAGATGTTTTTGTTTGGGGTCTTTTTGCAGGGCTTCGTGCGCAATCCTGTGAGGAGGAGGTGGTAGCCGTTTCAGTCTCCATTGTGTTTGAAGTGCGATTGCGAACTGCTTGTTGCTTTGGGTGACCCACGTGTGTGTGGCGATGCGTCGACGAGGAAATCTGTCGTCGGCGAGATTTTGAAGTGTTCACGGACGCATCAGTAGTGCTGTACAGCACTACTGATGCGTCCGTGAACACAGCATTAAGGGGGCGTTTACATACACGTGAGTTGCTGCTGCTGCTTTTTTGCGGCGTGTTGCAGAGATGAAGCACCTCATGAGGAGTTTTGGTCCGAAAAACATAATCAATCTTTCCAAACACCGGATTGACCGGTTTGTGCTCCGTTCATCGGTGAGTGTGCTGCTGTCCGCCTGTTGTACTAAAACCAATTTTTTGCTTTTGTTTGGTGGATTGCAGTGGCGGCCGGCCCATAGGGGCGCTAGGGGCGCCGCCCCACCTCTTAGTGGTTTTTCACATTAAAAAAAAAATATTTAAAAAAGATATATATTTTATATTTTTATTTTTAATGAACAAGGTAAATATCATACAATTGGTATCAGTAAAATGTATAATCTACAATAAAATCTCGTTTAAAATTGTGTTACGATGTCTAAAGTTACTGATAAGTCACATGTTTCCTGCCTGGCCTTGCCCATGGCATTAGTTTATCATTACCGGGCGGAGCCCCCAAGCCAAACAGCAGAAACCAGCACGTTGCAAAAGTCTCAATAGTAAACTGTGCCGCCGAAACATAATTTCAGCCAATCAGCGCCGTCAAATATTTTGGTCACGAGGGCACTCACGTTGGCGCCCACGTTGCTTACGTGACGTGAGTTGTTTTTTAGACTCGTGAGGTGACCAAGGTGACGCAGTTATTAGAATGGTGTGCAGGTGGAGTCGCCGGACCTTCGGTCCGCCACCCAATTCTGTGCAAGAGCTACTCTCCAATCCTTTCCAAAGGAGAAGTTTGGGAGATAAATTGATATTTAAAGACCTTGGACCGGACCAACCCGATTTGTATATATCACAGCAAGCTCGTGAAAAAGACAAAACGTATCAACGAGGCTAGCTGGATATAAACGATGCAAACAGGTAAATGCTATATTTTGTTGCCCATGCTTGCTCTTCAAACAGCCGGGGACATATACGATCTGTTCAGAAACTAGACAAAAGTTAAACAAGTACAAACCACAGACTGTCTGTGTCATGGAGAATACAGTCGCTGGTTTATTTATGTCTGTATAGGCCGTTGTTGTGAGTGTAGACGGTCGGAACATATATAACGTTAGCTTAGCCAAGCTCCATTCAGAAAACAAGCATTCTAAAAGGTTTTTCGCCTGCCGTCTGTCTGCAGACTTGTCAAAGCATTAATTCATAGTTTTTACTAACCGGTATCAGTATGTTGTTACGTCGGCATCATTTAGAAACGTGTATTACATTTTAATCACGGTAAAATATGTTCATTTTGTTGTAGTTGTAGCTCCGGAGCCAGCGCGTCTTGTTTGAATGATGCGAGTAAACACAGCTGGCAGCCGCGGTGAAACTCGAGCGACTAGAGCGATGCGATAGGAGCGTTTAGAGCAGGGGTGCCCAACCTTTTTTGAACCGAGAGCTACTTTTAAAGTTGCCAGTCTGCCGAGATCTACCAGTCCAAATAGAGAGGCGTAGCCATTACTGACAGCCTACTACCAGGTAAATACACACTTCTACTTGTATAAAACTGACCTTTGTACGATTAATACTTCATAAAATACTGCAGATCCTTTATCTTACCTCTTTCTAATCTACACACATACAAGTATTTAACTGAAGTTACACAACAGTGTTGTTGATACAGAGTTGGAGTTTATTCACACGTCACACTACAGTGTGTAATGTTTCAAGAAACATTGAACAGTGCTGCCACATGTGACACAGGGAGAAAAGAAAAGACTCTGAACCCTTCTTTGCCATTATATAAAAATAGTGTTGCTACAAAAGTATAAATTATGCTTACTAATAAGTAGGGATGGGTATCGTTTGAAATTTATCGATTCCGATTTCGATTCCGGTTCTGCTTATCGATTCCGGTTCTTATCGATTCCCCGTTTCGATTCCAAAATTGTAAAATAAAGAGGTCAAACGTCAGAGTGTTTACCGCGACCTATCTTTGGTGTTATGAAGTGACTGAGCTCGTGAAATGTCTACGGGAGAGCGGGGGAGCATCGCTGCGGGGTAACTGTGGACCTCTGTCGCCTGTCAGCGCAACTTATATGATGCCGTTTAAAAAAATGAAGGGCGGTGCCGGCCGTCAGCGTACCGAGCCGGCCGTCAACGGCCCGCTGACGACCGGCCGTTCTGTGATTCTCCAGGTCCGCCCTGTATTCCACCGGGTCACCGCAGCGCCGCGGTGCAGACGGACCCGCTGGAATACAGGGTCTACCGCGTTTAGGAACCGTTAAGCAGAACCGAAATTGTGTATTTTGTATGGGTACCCGGTACCCGGCATTTTCTTATCGGTTCTCATCTGGAACCGAGTTTCGGTTCCCAACCCTACTAATAAGACAACTCAGATCTGAAGCTACACAGGAATCTGCTGCAACAGTGCAATAAAAAAGACAACATTAATAGAATCAAACCCTTTTTTTGTTGCATTTTAGTAGATTATAAAAATAAATGCCTTTTTTTAAAATAGGCTGCAAGCAACACTAGTTTCTTAACCTGAATTGATAATAGACTATAATCAATTTAAGTTTGTATTGTCAGGGCTCGACATTAAGGAACTGCCCGATGGCCCGGGGCCATCTAGTATTTAGCTCGGGCAATGAAGCCTCACCTGCTGGTTGCCCGATCGGGCAATCTATTATGTCAGTCTCATGCAGCTCGCGGATCCAGTAATGAGTGACCCGACAGTAAACTAAACATATCTATAACTAGTTTAGGTAGTTTGAGAGGTAATTAAAATAGCTACGTGTGATATTTAACCTGAAGTGTGTGTTTTGTCCGCTCACCGTTGCATGTGATCATGCAGAGCTGCGTGTCCACTCGTCAGCAGCAGCCGATCTCTCTCTCCCGTCAGATTAGACTTCACTCGCGTGTATGTCCATATCGATCAGATCCAGCTGGTTCTAGCTAATGATATGACTACCTGCTTATTAAAAGACACCTAACAATAAGCGTCGCTATGCAACTGGGTGAGGCCGCAAAGTATAGCGCAGCGTTATGCATTTGTTTACATGCCCACCGGAACCTCGAGGCATTACCAACAGATCAACGCACAATCAACCCATACAGGACATCTCTTTCTCCACATTAAGTGTTAGATGGACTATTCATGTCTGTCACATACTTTCTTGTCTGTCACATACTCTTCTTGTCTGTCACATAAGTGGCGCAACTGAAGCGGTATTGCGCTAAAGGGAAATTATTTTGACCGGACGCTTTGACCGAAGAGATTTAGATTTGCCGGCTAACGGGAACTCGGACGTCGCCATTTTGTGTGCTTGGCGGATGCGCTCGGCTCCTCTCGACTGCTGCTCGGGTCTGCTCGGTCAGCTTCCGGATGAGGAGGCATTCGTTCGACCAATTTACAGTAGATAACATTACAAACATTTTTAACAGGGGCCATAATAGTGTAAATAATGTTTGTTTTGGCAGTTATAACTGAAATGTAATGTTTTCTACTTTTTTACATCTGGGAAGGCATTTGCCTTCATCAGATGGAAAGTGTCTTCTTGACCAACAACTTAAGTATTTCTTATAGCTATGCAGGGCATGCAAGCGAGCAAACACAAACAAGAACAAACAAAAAAGTGAAATGAAGAAATTGAACAATATTATATTGTGGTGGTTCATCTTATAATTCAGTCTAGAGAACCAGACAGCATTTAAGACCTGCAACAATCTAAATGTTCTAGGGGGAGGCCCCCCAAACCCTTCGTACGTCATTTCGTCCGCGTGCATTTTTCAGGGCAATCTCTATTGGGCTCAGGGCCATCTGTAAATTAGCTTAGATGGCCCACAGGGCCATCTCCCAAAATCCTTAATGTCATGCACTGATTCTTATACCATTTTGTGCAATAATTATAATGAATAAGTTCAAACAAACTCAAACTTACAGGCTGATTAATAACGGTATCTAACTGAGTTTTTATCATATCAAAAACCTGTTGAAATGCTACTGTTATTTTGATTACGCGTCGGCAGCCTCCAGGATGCTTCTTTTCACAACTTCGCCGTCTTGAAAGACTTGTGTTTCGCAAGAACGTGATAAGATGCTATGGTTGCAGCCTTGCTCTTGTTGTTGGGCCTGGTGAAAATGGGACTGCTGTGCATTTAGCTGTCCTTCCAGGCCCCTCCCCTTTTGGAGCGTAGGGCAGAATTAGGAGGGAATTCCGTCTCGTAGCGTTTGTTGCACTGTTTTGAAATGCCGCTCCTAAATGACCCTTCTTCGATAAAGCCACGCTCGCATGCAGATGAGACAGATGGACTTTGAATTAGAATAGATGCAAAAATAATCATCCTCCCACTCGGAGTGAAAATTATATATGTTTTGCTTCTGCCATAATTGCGGTCTTGTGTGTGTGCGGACTGTCACTCCTGTTGACACCAAGCGGCCACAACTGTGGGTAGAGCCGGGAAGCCAATACGGAAGTGCCACACACTGCAGTTCATATATTGGCCGATAGGCGATGGCTGCAGAAAGGAGCAATTTCCATAGACCCCCATGTTAACATGCCCAACTTTACAGCAGAAAAAAAACATGTTTCTACCCCTGGCTCCATACATTTTATTATCGATATAGTTAGATTCCACCTTCATGATTATGGATCTGTGAGTGAATTGTTTTCTAACGCAACCCTTTTATTTATATTAGGTCTTAAAGTTTGTGCATAAATTAGGGCGTGGTCACATTGAGTGACGGCTCTGTCAAGTGCTTGCCGCTGTTAGCTTCTTGTCTCTCTGCTAGCTGCTCCGTGAAGCTAGCTACAGGGGACTCTGCCTGCTCAGCTCATCCAGGAAACACAACTTGTAGCCGGCCGTTGGTTGTTGTTCTTCATGCTTATATATCGGACTATTGTGACTCGCTCTGCGGTTAAAACAGACGGTGCATGAATGCGGTTTTGCGGTAAGTGAAATTCTAGTGCTTTATTTATGTGTTAATGATTTTAATCAGCTACGTAATGAATGGTAAGGCTTGGGTTAGCATGTAAGCTAGTGGTAGCTACATCGGTGCTAATGATTGTAATCGTAGCCTCCAAGTTAAAATCATAGACTGTATATATAAAGGTTGCAACGAAATAGACGAGTGTTAAGTGGGATAATACTGTTGAACAAACGGCTTCTGTTTGAGGTTGATAAAATAAGGTTACATCCTTGTAACTTAGAGATATTTTATTATGTAGGTAGAGAACTGTATGCATCTAAGGTTAATTTAAATTGGCTATGCTCAAGTATGTAGACAAGCTAATGTCGAAGTAGTGTATGTGAAATCAACCTCACAATAAGATGTTAACGTCACCGTCATCTGAAGAACGAACCCAAACCTTGTTGTTTTTATTAATTGCATTACCAAATGGGTATCAAATAAACAGTAAGCATTGGTAACACAACTCCCAAAGTTACAGTAAAATAAAAAGGCCCCTGACTCGGACAATACACAATCCAACATGTTCAACAGAAGAGAATCAGTTATATTGTTTGTACACATGGTACTTTACATATATATCTATATATATTTTTGTTTAAGGTGTCCAGGTGATGCAGACAGGCTGGACCAGAGAGTGAGAGACAGAACTGGACTCCTCACAGCAGTGAACTTCAGCACAGGTACAAAGACTCTTTTTTCATACTGTACAAAAATCAAGAAAGATATTGGTTTTAAATGAATGAAGTATTGACTTGAATACACTGATATACATTCCATTAAACAATACTAAATACTAGATCACCTACACATCAGTTAAGTTGAGGGTATTTTCCATGCAAAAAGTTACATTTAGATGATAACAAGCAATATGACTTTGTCAGCTTTCTAATTTAATGTATTGAAGGCAAAGATATTTAACACATAGTGAGAACTGCTACTATTTATCTCTCAATATTGTCTGTAAAAAACGTGGTAAAAGGTATTCTTTCAGTGAGACAACAGAGGAAGCTTCTACAGTTGCACTACGTTTTTGATAACAGTTAAATATTATTTTGATAATAACATATATTTCAATGTTGATGAACTTCATACTGTTCATTCATAATCTGATTGTCTTTGTAGCTCATTGTTGAAATAAAAAAAAACATTACAATTACAAAATAATTATATCTACAGCCCCTAAACACACAAACACACCGCTTTCATAAATAACACACTTGTTCTGCAATAATATGTTTTATGTTTCCTGTCATTTTTGTTAGGAAAGGACATGCCTGAAAGACACGACATTTTCTCCTTCTCTGAGGGTCAAGAAGAACATCCAAGAGGAACATTAAAAGCTGATGCTATGAGATTTTAAGACCAGTACAGGACATTCACTAAGAAACTACTTTTATTGTAAAAACAGTCAGCTGATCGAATGCAGCTATTTCCACATCTACACTCCATCCGCTGATTATTTCTATTTGCCTCACTTTATGAGCTTCACAACATGTACCTTGTTTTGCAACGTCACAAATAAATGGGGCCAATCTTCAGTCAGATGTGAATGTGTAATCTAACATTTTCAGTAAGAATAATGGACAAAAGGAATGCAAATACAATTTATTGAAATGTGAACCAAAAGTTAATCAACTGTTTTAAATAAAAAGCACATATGGACAGAAGGTGTAAACCTATTAAATGTATTAAACACATTTAGTCAAATAAAGTGACCGACTAAGCCTGTGCAGTTGGTATCAGCTTTGCCCAGCATGGGCTCCTTCATCAGCCCTGGTCCTCCTCGCAGAGGAAAGACCCTCAGTCCTCTCCAAACCAACAGAGAGGACGTCCATCACACGGAGGTTTCTCCCTGAAGTCTCTGCAGCTCTCTGGACGCCAGGCTGTCTCAATCCGTCCGCACTGAATATGAGAGGGGGGAAATGAAAATAATAAATGCTTTAGACAATAAGAAACATAAAGTTGACTGTTGAGTTGCTCAGTTTTTTTAGATTGTCAATACTATTACTGTATAACTAATATCTCAGGTTAAGAGGCACATTCAAATAAAGATTGGTCTTTAAATACATTTTGTCTTTTGAATTGTTTGTCTAAAGTCAAGGATCTAGAACTGGTACTTAGTTTTAATGATATAGTCTGGTTATTATGCTGTTTGGAGGAGGCCTCACAGGTAAGAGCGCTAACTAGCTACCATCACATGTACCTTAGCTTGACTTAAATGTATTAAACGTATAGTTAAGTGATATCAAAATATAAATAACTAATGTCATGCAAACATATTAATATTTGCTTGATTCCAGTGTTGAATTTAGCACAATTGCATACAAACGTTAAGGGGTTTTAAGATTCTGAAGTATTATGCTAAAAGCTCAATAACTTAGATTATTATTTATAGTTTTGCTGAATAGTTTCATGTCCGCTTACCTTAGAAACGTAAAATGCGACGGCAGCGTGCAGATGGGGAGCATGTTAGCTTAGCTTGGTAGCTTCAGCTAGCTCTGGAACTTCCAGCTCGGTGGCAGGAGGTCCCGCCTCGGCTCCGCCTCTTTGCCCTTATTTGGAGCAGGCGGGAGTTGAACTCTGGCGTCACTGTCGAGCCGTTAGTGGCCGACTCCGCCTACTAAGGGGTTCACGGCAACTCTGCAGAATCCTATGGGTGACGTCACGGACCCTACGTCCATTTGTCTATGGTTGACACGGACAACTGAACGTTAGCGAACGAGTGCATGATGAATTGGAAATGGGGGACCCTGATGTAAACAAGACGAAAGTCTTTCTCTGGTCTGCATCCCCTTAACAATTGTATGTTTTGAGCTGTACTGTACTGTACCCGATATACAAGCTGTTAATAAACTTTTCAATCAATCAATGCACTGCCCACTGCTCACCAGCCACGCCCCGACACATGGGGTCACGCCGGCCAATCACAAAGCTTTGATGCGTTCAAGTGCATTATTCTGGCACAGGAAGATTATGTTACAGGACATTAACGATAAAACAGAATATTGTTGTAAACGCCAGCCCTCCACGGCTTTATAACATAGCATGTACTTAGCATAGCACTTGTTTGATTTACAACTTTTTTTGGGGGGGGGGGAAGCACAGTTAGTATATATATACCAGCACCTTACATAATAGCTACGTTCAGTGGCGTACTGGGACTAAAAATCAGCCCGGGAATCTCGACCGGCCCTCGTTATCGCTAGTAAATTGTCAACGGGGGGAGGGGGGATTGCTAGTGAATTTTCCGACCGGTGTCAGTACCAGATATGTTCGGGCTACCAGATATGTTCGGGTGTATTTCCGTCGCATCCGTCATCCGTCATATCCGTCATATACTCACCTCCCTCTGCTCCCAGCGCTATGCTACCACACACCGGCCGTCTGCGGAACTGCAGCCCGAGGAACTCGGTACAGCTTGTTATGTGTGTGTACTTGTGCACATAAATAATGTTTCTAATTATTTACAATTAAAAAATATATATATTCTACGTTACTTTAGCCAACACTTTTATAATATTAAGCCTGATCATGTCGTTGAAAGCAAGTACAGATGTTCTCCCTTTTCCACAGTTCTGTGTGAACTTCATCTAAGGCAGATGCTTTGCTTCTGCACCAGTTTAGCAGAAGTCTGTTTTGTAAGACTGGTTTTGTTGCAGTCTGTTCATGCTATGTGTTTCTTGCGTAAGACTATATACACACGGAACACATGTATTACAGGGCTGTACCCAGTGTGCTTCATAAAACATTTTTGAAGCTTATTTTTTTAATTAAGCCGTTTCCATGTTATAACAGCATCTCGTTAAATCAATATCGGAAACAATAATTGTTTTTGTGGTTATTTAAATGTATTTATGGTGCTGTTAGAGTGCTTATAGACTGACCCGTTAATACAGATGCCCCCCCCCTTTGTGTGCGGTGAGCTGGAGAGAAGGCAGTCTATTTATTTTGGTGAAAAAAAACCCCTAACATATATGGATTGAATCAGAATATTGTGTTGGATCAAAACATATTGTACATTTTGAGAATTCTTACATCTATTACAATACATTTTGAGCTTTGGACAATGTTTGGATCAAACGAGCCAGAAACAACCTTAAGCAGCCACCACTGGAATATTATTGCAGTAATATTATAATACTAGTAGCCTTATATTAGTGTAGCCTAATATTGATCGACAAATATTTAGAAATAAATCTGGTTCTGCCTGCCTGCCTCATCGCACTATGCCCTGCTGCATTACCATGTATAGCATGGGTCGGCAACAGGCGGCCCGCGGGCCATTGTTGGCCCGCCAGCAATAATATTTGGCCCGTAATTTTGAGAATCAAAAAAAAAATTATTTTGATTTTTTATTATTTTTTTTATTATTTTTTTTACAACATAGGACCGACACATCAGGGTTTCCGTTAGCCGCCGATCGATCGGCCGCCGGTCATTATCGGCCGATATTCACTCTTAATAGTTTGATCGGTGCTCTCTATAAAGGCCGATCAGGAGAGCTGGATCTGATCGATATGGACATAAACGCGAGTGAAGTGTAACCGGACCCGAGAGAGAGATCAGATCAGCTGCTGAGTCTGATGGAGACACACAGCTCTGCATGATCACCTGAAGCCCCGCCCACT